AATAGAATCAGCAGTAAAATCTAATAAAAGTCGCTGAAAAAGTTGGATGACTTTGCCCCAAAATAAGGTTTAAAAAGCATTTTTCCCGACTGGTTATACTGCTACTACGCATGCGTCACTACTACCACGCACCATGCACACTCGAAGTAAAACACACCCAAATGTCAGTGGAACCACACGATTGGCTGAAATATGTTTCCCGCTTTGGCTGTTAAAAGCAGACGGTTGGCTTTCTAGCGGGAGGGGCGGGATAATCGCCCTCTTTACAGTTACAGGCTTTTCCCATAGAGTTGTATTCAGGATGTGATTGAGTGGTGTGTCTCCTCTATAAAAGTCTCTGCTTTGGACTATAATTGATTGTGACTCATTTTGTTAAAATCATACATAGATAAGGGTGAAAAACACTGTAATACTCCTTTGACTCCTTATTGGTGGTCAGACATCCAAAACTCACAATCTAAAAACTTTTAGTAGGAGAAGCCAAAGGACAAAGAAATGCCTCTACACGAATACTTAAATACATTTAAAATAAGTCCCAACAGAACAGTAAATTTAGGTCTAACGAGTGGAATTCCTTAGTGTACATCTCATTTCCTCTCATTGACTGTCTCACGGTCTTTGCATCTATCTCTTTCTTAAGCATGTATCTCAGGAGATAACATAAAAGTGGCTTTCTGGAATTAAAGCAATACTGCAGCAATAAGCCCTTACTCCTTATCCTTTCTTTGTGTGAGTGTGTGTGTGTGTGTGTGTGTGTGGTGTGTGTGTGTGTGTAGACACACACACACACACACACACACACACACACACACAAGACAGTCAGAGAAACTCTCCTCTCCCCTACTGATCAGTGGCATGGTGCCTCCTGATGTATGACGACCCTATATGATCACAGAGGGCTCAGAAAGCAAAAAGTGAAAGCAAATAAGTGGTGTGAAAGGGATTCCAGAAATATATAGCATAACCTATATGTTCATACCTTTGGGCACATTATTACATGCATGTATACACACCCATACACACACTAACATGATTTATAAAAGAGATTGCAACAGTTAGATTAGATCCAGATGATAAATATTGTTTTTATTTGCCTATTAGCAAATGCACACAAGACAAACATACGCACAAACATGTGGATGTGGACATGGGTTGCAAGGGAGCGCGTCAAAGCCAAGGAACACAAGCACAATTTGAAATGCATCACATTATAAGCAGCAGTGAGAAGGTTGGCCTGGGGGGGTGAAGCAAGGTTTATATTCAGAGGAGGACAAATCTTGGCAGGCATGGAGTACCTATGTTAAGAGGCTTGAGGAAAGGCGGGGGATTGTACTGATGAGGAATTCCAGGAAAGATGTGGGTGGGTGCAGGATTGTGGTCCTGTGGGGATGCTCTGTCTACAGCAGCGATATGGGGCTCAGACAGCGGATTAGTGTTCCTGCTCCATAATCAATTTGCTGTCGGGATCCTGTTGCACATAACCCTAAACATCCACTCCTTGCTTGATCCTGCAAAATCTCTCTCCTTCTTTCTCCCTCCAGCAATTTCACTTCATCTCTTTTTCACCAGTTCACCCTCTGTTTCACCTTAAAACTTTAAGATGTCCAGTCTCTATCGCTCAACCACTTTAATACAGTATCTCACAAAAGTAGTACACCCCTCACATTTTTGTAAATATTTTATTATATCTTTTCATGTGACAACACTGAAGAAATGAGACTTTGCTACAATGTAAAGTAACAAGTGTACAGCTTGTATAACAGTGTAAATTTGCTGTCCCCTCAAAATAACACATCATACAGCCATTAATCTCTAAACCCCTGGCAACAAAAGTGAGCACACCCCTAAGTAAAAATGTCCAAATTGGGCCCAAAGTGTCAATATTTTGTATCAAAAGGGTTTAGGTCTGGAGACATGCTTGGCCGGTTCACAGGCTAACCTCCATGCAGCCCCAGAACCATGACACTCCCACCACCATACTTGACTGTAGGCAGGACACACTTGTCTTTGTACTCCTCAGCTGGTTGCTGCCACACACTCTTGACAGCATCTGAACCAAATACATTTATCTTGGTCTCATCAGTCCACAGGACATGGTTCCAGTTATCCATGTCCTTAGTCTGCTTGTCTTCAGCAAACTGTTTGCGGGCTTTCTTGTGCATCATCTTTAGAAGAGGCTTACTTCTGGGACAACAGCCATGCAGACCAATTTGATGCAGTGTGCGGCGTATGGTCTGAGCACTGACAGGCTCCCACCCCTTTAACCTCTGCAGCAATGCTGGCAGCACTCATACATCTATTTCCTAAAGACAACCTCTGGATATGACGCTGAACACGTGCACTCAACTTCTTTGGTCGACCATGGCGAGCCCTGTTCTGAGTGGAACCTGTCCTGTTGAACCGCTGTATGGTCTTGGCCACCGTGCTGCAGCTCAGTTTCAGGGTCTTGGCAATCTTCTTATAGCCTAGGTCATCTTTATGTAGAGCAATTATTTTTAGTTAGATCCTCAGAGAGTTCTTTGCCATGAGGTGCCATGTTGAACTTCCAGTGACCCGTATGAGGGAGTGTGAGAGCGATAACACCAAATTTAACACACCTGCTCCCCATTCACACCTGAGACCTTGTAGCACTTACAAGTCACATACACACTGAGGAGGGAAAACGGCTAATTGGGCCCAGTTTGGATATTTTCACTTAGGGGTGTACTCACTTTTGTTGCCAGGGGTTTAGACATTAATGGCTGTGTGATGTGTTATTTTGAGGGGACAGCAAATTTACACTGTTATACAAGCTGTACACTCACTATATTATATTGTAGCAAAGTGTCACTTCTTCAGTGTTGTCATATGAAATGATATAATAAAATATTTACAAAAATGTGAGGGGTGTACTCACTTTTGAGATACTGTAAACTTGCACATGAAATTGTCCAGAATCTAAAAATAAAAGTTTTTCTACTAACCTCTTAAAAACTTCCTATCTCCTAGTACTTTGCTACAAAATGTGTGTCGTTTTCCACTAGCCACAGTTGATTCTGCACCCACTGCATTTTAGGGCAATATGGGGGACTTTGGGAGTAATTATATCAGGGTTTGTGTGTGTGTGTGTGTGTGTGTGTGTGTGTGTGTGTGTGTGTGTGTGTGTGTGTGTATGAGATGTAGAGTTTAGCCTTGACCAAGGGCAAACTATTAGCTTCATCTCACCCATGGGTCCAAGCTTGCTGCCATCTGCTCCAGCGCTTAGGGGTCATAATACTGGCTGACCAATCAATAGCATATTACATGTTGGCACCGTGCGCAAACCACAGGCATGACTTTCTTTGCTTATTAAAAAGGCAAGGTACATTAGACTCCAGAGAGGAAATACACAACATTTCCCACAAACAATATCAATACTACAAAGTGAAATTAAAAATGTAATTTCTGTTTGCAGAAAAACAAGACTGTTGTCCATCAAAATTGTATTTTGTGGAACAGAGGGCTATTTTCTTATTCAGCCTTCATTTTAAATTCAGTCTCACAGAAAATAAGGTTCTTTTCTTTTAAGAAAGATGTGCTGGCATTTGCTGAAGGTGTCTGAATCTGTGTATGTGTGTATATGAGGCCCCATCTACACTACTCCGTTTTAGCTTCAAAACGGAGAATTAAAACGAATATGATGTCTGGCCACACCAGCTTTTTAGCTGCGTATCACAGTTGATCTCCGTCTCTACTAAAATGACTGAAAATGCACATCTAGTGGCCGTACACTGGACATGCGCGTGCGGGTGTAAACATAAAGCAGTTGGTCTGTTCTGTAGATACAGAAGATTTGACAAAAGAATAAAATACTACAGACAAAGAACCACACCAGATTTTAATAACGAGCTGGGACTGTTACTGTAAGGAACACAGGAGATAAAAGTGGCTGTGACGGCGGAAAACAGACTGGGAATCGTCGTAAGGTAAATACAGTGACATACACACTACAAGTGTAGGCTATAAGTGTTATTTGCACAGTACAAAATATTTTAATAAAAATACCCTGTCAAAAACTCTGTCCATAGCATTGTGTTTCTACTTTACATGACTTGTGAGACCCAATCAGAGAGTCTTCATTTTTGCTGTTTTAGTCTGGACGGGAGGCACAAACGCAGCAAAAGGGCTCCTTTTTAAAACAAAAAAGCAGTAGCATGGATGGGGCCTAAGTGTGTCTGCAGAGGGGAGGAGTACTTTGAGATGAAAGACCAGAGAGACAGCCAGGAGGGGAGGCAGTGACAGCAGGTGGTGCTAGGAGCACTCCTGCTCAGGGTAAAGGAGGCAGAGAGGTGTTGGTGTCAACAGATCAATAAGTGTGAGACTGGGTAGAGGACTATCCATTGCAGACTGTCTGACAAAGATAAAGCTGAAAGGTGTAGTCCAGGCATAAAAAAGAATACACAAACAAAGTGTAATAGCAGCTGAAAAATAATATGGCTGTTTCTGTCCAGACAAGTTTCTCAGACAAGCATAATCATCTATGGGATAGTAGAAATGTAAATACAATGCTGTATCAGAGGACAAGACTTGACCCCACTAATGATACAACAGCTTGTCTTAATACAAGTGCACACATACATTATGCACACATATAAACACACACACCCCTGCAGCCTGTCAAACACTATCCATGGCCCTCTTATTGGACCAGGCACATCATCACCTTTTCTGATTCCTGTGGGCACACACAGATGAGAGCTACTAATTGCCTTGCTGGGGCACCGACGTGACTCGCATATGACCAGATATGGTTTGGACTCATTGGAGGGTTTATGTGTCCGTGGTGAGTTTGTGAGTTGTTTGAGTGAGACAATAAAAAGGTTGACGTTTTTTAGAGGGATGTGTGCTATTATGCAGGATGAATTCTTATCAGTCTGGTTGATGGCACAAGGACCCGGGTGAGGAGCCTTTGAAGTGTCCTTAGTGCCTGCTAAACTATCCTGTTAAGAAAAGGTGAACATGAATCAAAGTGGCAGTCTTACCTTGGCCTGGCCTCAATGCCGTGCTGAAAACAACAGAGAGAGAGAGAGAGAGAGAGAGAGAGAGAGAGAGAGAGAGAGAGAGAGAGAGAGAGAGAGAGAGAGAGAGAGAGACAGAGAGAGAGAGAGAGAGAGAACAAAACATATTTAAAATCTTTGCACAGGTGGTGTGGATAACAAATAAAAGGTAAACAACATAATTTACATGAACTTGGTCCACAGCTGGTATGCCTCTAAATCTGACCAATTAATTTTCACTTTCATCCAGCAGTTGTGCTCATGTGTATTTATAAGCTTTTAAATGGGCAGTCTGGAACAAAGCACCAGGTGAGCTGCAAACATTATTCACATGATGGCTTTTCTGTTTAATTTGGATTGGGTATTAAAACATTTTTCCATGTCAAAATGATGGACGTGATTCGTTGACTGCCAGTATGTGACTGCTACACAAACATTGCACGCAAAAGATTTATTCATGAGACGAATGAAAAATTGAATCACATCTCAAATTCTGTCAATTTCCAGAAGCTATAAATGCATTATTTCACAAGGCTTACCCGTAACATTTAAATTATTGCTATGTATCTACCCTAGTATTTATCACGTCTAACACACAGCTCCAGTATGCATGCACCACACTTGAAATGGCTGTCATGTACTACAGCAAAACTACTTACTATACCATCCCTGATCTCATTTGGTTTATTTTCAGTCCAAAGGACCATGTGCATGAGATGGCCTCTTTTGTTACTTTGTTGTTAATATTCATCCTCAGCACTGATTTTACTGTAGTACTAGACCTTGACTAGAAAGGGATTTTGACACTGTGTAACTAACGGCTTCTTGAAGGCAGTGGCTGATGAGTGGAGGCTGCGGAGCACTGACTGACTGTCTGCCTCACTGACTAAGATTTGGCTTTAAATTTAATTATCTTTCGATCTGGACAAATACATGGTTTCAAAGATTGGAATATTGGATTTTTTCTTAGCTTACCTTGTCAAACACTTCCATAGAGGCAAAAGTCAATTTGTTAAATCATTCACCAAAGAAGCTCTTGACTGGCTGCCTCTGCAAAAAGTAAACATTTGCTAACTTCTTTCAGTTTCTCCTGTGGTTGGTTGGTTAAATCACCTACCATTAGTTGACAGCTAACCGTGGCAGGTTTTAAGACACCCAAAAAGAAAACGACATACACAAGTCTTCTTTAAATTAAAGTTGAAAAACTTTTGTCCACTGTTGTTTTTTTTTAAATATACCTGACTGTGCATTAAAAACACAAAAAGCTAATAAGTGGACCGCAGATATCATTAATCAAGGGGTCAAACTATTAAGTGAGTAATAGCTACACATTTGCATATTAACATAACTTGCATTAATTTGACTTGCATTGTATTAGTTTTTCAACTTCAATGATTCCCCTGAAGAGGTGAAAATCAACAATAAACTTATTCAACTACCATGTTTTGCCTTTGATGTCCTGATAATACATTGGCAGTCATTCCTGGTGATCAAATAGAGTCAGATGCTGTGCTATGCTAAATGTTAAAAGCACTTTGTTACTGATTGTCTGGTTTCAACTTGGCTGCATTCCACACCAGTTCATTTTCCTGATGTTGATCTATGTTAAGAAGTGTTGCGTTAATATTGTGCATGGTAGTTCTTTGATAGCATTACATTAAGACAAAAAAAGTGGAATATTACTATAGTCTCAGTTGTGTTTTGATTTAATTTGGTCCAATTAAAGAGTTGTTTTTAGTGCCAATGCCACAAAATTAAAATAAATATGATGTGAGAAAGAAGCTAAAGGCTATAGAGGTTTGTTCCAACTGTAATTATTACAGTTACCGTACCAACAGTATAGAGAAAAATCACACCTTCAGGGTTGAATAACAGCAGATTCAACATTTCCTATATAATTCACATGGCCTTTAGCAATTCAAGCAATATGTGCATATACAAAAACTGGTCTCTCAAAGCTAAGATTAACCTGGACTTGGTGTGTTTGTTATCAAAAGATGCAACCTGCAGCTGCACCACTCTTAATTTAAAAACAATATCAACTTCATGGAATGAAGCACCAAGCTTTATTTCAACAGTATGCTGTTCCAAAAAAGAATCTGTCTGCTGTTTAGAATTTATTTATGCTAAATTAGTATCCAGAATAATCCCACCTCAATTTTTTCTAGGCATACTTTCCTCTAAAATTAAAGCTTACGTCATTTGACATTTCATTAGGTCAGTCATAAATATAACGAAACCCTGTGTTATGACCCTGGGGTCATATTTTGTTAATAGTTTATCTCACCCTGCACTGCCAGCTGTTCTCCTCCCTTAGAGTGTGTTTGTGTAAATGCTCCGTACTTGTATAGCGCCTTTCTAGTCTTTTCGACCACTCAAAGCGCTTTTACAGTACATCTGCATTCACCAGTCACACACATTCATACACTGAGTGCTCAAACGGAAACTAACATTCACACACATTCATACACTGGCGGAACAGCCGCCAGGGGCAAATCGGGGTTCAGTATCTTGCCCAAGGACACTTCGACACGCAACCAGGGGGAGCCAGGGATTGAACCGCCGACCTTCCGATTAACGGCCAACCCGCTCTACCTCCACAGGTACACCGCCTGTGTGTGTGTGTGTGTGTGTGTGTGTGTGTGTGTGTGTGTGTGTGGTGTGTGTGTGTGTGTGTGTGTGTGTGTGTGTGTGTGTGCGCGTGCGTGCGTGCAGGTAATGGAGAACAGGTGGGCACACTGGATTGGTCCTGCAGAGCTAATTGCTGCCTACTGATTGGTCAGCTGGATGACAGGAACTCTGACAAGAACTCCCCTCCTCTCTCTCTGCCATTCCTCACCTGAGCCTGTGTTTGTTGTGAGTACAGAACTGTTGTGCTCATACGAGACTTTGTAAGTGAACCTGTGTAGTGAACACACTAAACTTTGAATAGCTTAACTTACTTGTTGACAACCTTGTTTTGTTGGCTTTAGCCATTTTGTTTGTTATATACAGATTTCTTTGTTGTGGCACCTTTTTTTTTTTTATCCTGTTTTTGGAATTGGAAGCCTAGTTTAGAGCTTTGTCGTCTTTACTTTTTGTTAAGTTTCTAAAAGTGGTGGTTGTTTTGGGCACTGTTCATCTGACATTAATAAAAACTACTAAATTGTATTTCCTGTGTTCTGGCATTGCTTTATGTTGTATCCAGGAAACCCCTAGACCTTGGGACGTAACACCTGCGAGGCAAGTGAGAAATGTTTTATTCTGGTGATCAATTTTCTAACTCTAATTTAAACAGTTTTCTCTCCTGTGTTTGACTTAATAACTAGTATAAAATGTCTTGCCAGGTGATATATCATGTGTATTAGCAACTTGTGTAAGATTACTGTCATGTCTTCCTCTTGGCTGGAAGTTAATCCTAGCAAAACCTTCTTTATTTAACCTGTTAAATCAAAAATACAGGAGAACAATTCTACCCCACAAAATGGATAGCCAAAGTGTTGTGTTTTTTTTGTGTTTTTTTCTTCCTCTTATACACATTCAAAATGTAGAAAAACGTTTATCATGAAATGAGTGAAAAGTCTCAAGGTTTCATTGGTAATCCCATGGAGATTTGAAATCCGTCCACATGATGAATTATAAATCACGTTTTGTTTTTCAATAGTTTTTAAACTATTATGCATTATATATTAAACTGCATGGGGGAGGGAGGGGGGGGGATCCTTGACAACACGCTTATTATTTTGAGCTATGGGGGGGGAGACTGCATTGTCTTAAATCAGCCAGTTCACTGTGACCTGGGTCACGGCTGACTCAGGGTTGGGTCACTAATGCAGACTTCCAGTGCTTGGCTAATGAGGCATCTTGGCTTTGTTTTCATGCCAGGAGTCCTTTACAGCTTAAACACTATCTATTCAGTCATACGTGTGAAAATGAGGCCTAACAGTTGCACAATAAAGAGGGTGATGCAGACATAAGTGGACTGACATGCACCGGCTCATAGGAACATGTCTGTGGATTCCATGCATTTCTTTTGTCACCTATTGTAGCATAAGAGAGAGAGAGAGAGAGAGAGAGAGAGGGAGGGAGAGAGAGATATTACATGCATGCACCATCTGCCCTCTGACTTAGTGTGTTGAGTCACTTTGCGCTCTGTATCAATGTTTTAGATGACAAGAATCTTTCTGTGCTTGTACCAGAAAGATCACTTCCTGCCCAGTGACATTAAATTTTTAATTACTACAGCCATTAAGGAATGTAAACACACTGGCTGTACGAATGAGTACCTACTGGCACTTTTTCATAAAAATGCGGAGACTGAGAATTTGATAATAAATGGACTCAGACTGAGACACACAATATATTCTCCCACTGATCAATTTTCAGAATTTTTTTCATCGCTGCAAACGCTCTTTATTGTATGCATGTGTCTCTACACCTATGTGACCCTGTGCTTGCAATAAAAGATTAACAGAACCAGTTATAATTTGTTTGTCCAACCTTAAGCAAAAAGATTCACCTCAATTATGTGGACTATTCTTTGGGGAACAGTTTAAAGGACAGGTTTTATGCAGGTAAGAAATATTTTACAACATAGTTGCTCCATTGCACAGGCTTGCTGTCAACATGGCTGCAGTATGTGATATTCTTACAAAGCAGCAGTGGTGTCTGACTTGACTCTGAAGCTGATAGTCTTTCTTTCCTTAAAGTTGCAATCTATACACCCAAAAAGTGCTGGAGGCAATCACTGTAGCTTTCTGGCAAACAGGATTAGACTGTGCTTTACAGGAGGAGAAATAAACAAAACGGGGTCAACCCATTTCTATGTATTTTCATTCAAACAAAGCTGAAGGTAACAGCTTTTTTTTTTTTTCCCTCAGTGCAGTCTATTTATCTTTCTATTCTCAAGCTTATATCATGGCTTCATGGATTTCAAATCCCAAATACTGACTCACAACAGTACAGGATTTTTGAAATAAGAATGATTATAGACGATGCACTACTACAGCTTTGCTGGTAGTGGGCTATAATGCTGGAACAGATTAATGGTACTAGTAGATCAACACAAAATGAAATCTTTTTCAATCATGACATTTGACTGTTAAGACAATCACTAAGCTCGTGACGTTTTAAACAATTACTGTAACTTCATAATCAATCATTTGTAGATTAATCAAAAAAGGTATTGTTTCAGCCCTACTGTCATAGTGAAGGAGCACCTTACATAACAGAACTGCAGTAAAGAAGCAAGTGAAATTATTGTAGTTCAATGTGCCATCTGTAATCATATACTTTGAGGCCGATAAACTTAAGGTGCATTCACACCGTAAGCGAATCCAGCGTTTTGGGCGGCTTGGTTACATGCAAAGACGCAAATTCACATGAATTTGCTGGTTTGCGCGAGTTAAAATTTTTCAACTTGAGTGAAAAAAATAGAACGGCATCCTGTTGTAGTTATTTCGGCATCAGTTTGATACGTTTTTTTGCAATTAAATCACAGCAAAAGGTTTACTTTGGGTTCATATAGAAGTAGTATTCGTGGGCTGTGTCTATTCGCTTAAAACACGTTGTGTGTGTGTGTGAACACTCAATGTCCTGCGGTCAAACTTGCACGAGTAAAGCGAGGCGAATATGAAATTCGCTTTACAGCGGTAGAGTAAGTGAGCAAGTAGGAGAACTGAGGGTTGAGTCAGTTGCTCTCTGGATCCATGAGGCTCTACACATTTAATGTTGCACCGAAGATAAAAGGTGAGTTCAGGTGGACTTGATGTAACTCACTTTGAACAGTGTGTATTCACACACCCACAAAAAGATACATCACAAGTAAATTGCTGCACAAGCTCACTCTCCATACACACACACACACACAGCTACAAAAGCAATCCGCACATCAGCTACCACCATTACTGCAGCCTCCCTGGTCCCATCACAGCATTGCCAGGGAGCACTCAAACCTCCTTTCCGGACTGCGGTGACTAAAGTAAACGGAGTGACAAATGGACCAATGGGATATTTTGTTTGGGATCTATAAGCAGTAAAAGCCTTCTCTTGGATTTTCAAATGAGGGAGTGAAGGCCAGTAGAATCAGAAGTAATGTGAATGCATTGACGTGGCCTGCACTTCTGGTTGACTTAATGTGCAAAAGTATTAAACTACACTCTTTCATCCCTGCTGCTATACGCTTTTTTTAATAAGTCACTGTGAGTTGTGGACTTCTGTGTAGTATGTATTCATTTTTTGTTTCTTACCGATGTATGGCTGTTGTTTTGTATAACATGTATTATTTATGTCACATACTGCTGCACAATGAATTCCCCCCTGGGGATAATAAAGACTCCTTGAACTTGAACATACTGTAACTGCACACACGCTTAGGTGCGAGCGGTAATTTGGCATAAGAACCTTAATTTGACTAAGGGTCGAGAAGAGAAACACCGTACCCAGCTGCTGTGTTCATGATTGACAAACACTGTAAATATAGTTATGTCTGTGCTTCATCAGCCAACAGCTCAGTATTTATTGACATCCAACTAACTGTATCATCCTGACACAGCTGACTTTATGAAAGGAAAACTGCATTTTTCTACCTGAACATAATGTATGCCCGATTAAATACAGCCAGTCCATTCTTTTATGTGAAACAAAGCTGTGTGGCACTTGTTTATGTGTATATTCATTCTGCCAAAATGACTATGCAGAAGGTGCTACAGTCATTGGAAAGATAATCCTTTAAGTTGAAGGCCTAGGATCAGGCCTCCATTAAGCATCCACCCTGCTTAGGTGACTTTAAGTAAGGCACCAAGTCCTTATTAGCAGGAAGTTAGGCTACAAGAAGGAAGGTCGAGGTGCCACTGCTGACTGTCCTATGTTATAAACTATGAATAACAACTATGTACAGCAATATTTATTGCTGTAAAAAAGCACTGTGAAGGTGGCTACACATGATCCGCTATATAACAGCTTTGTGCTGGCTGGCAAATTGTTTGTAATTGTTTATTGACAAGAGCAATAGCACCCACTTTTACAGGGCTGACTTTGGCACTGGACATCTGTGTTTAAAGTGTAAATTAATTAAAGATTGACCCTGTTTGCTTTCACACAGACCTTGTGATGTGACGCTATGTTGTCATTTAGGGTGTCAGGTTTGCTCAAATATGGGCCTCTGGAACAAATGCATTGGTTTTTTATTCATTTTTTATTCATTTTTAAGACTGGTATGTAAATTAAGTTCCTTGCTGGCTAGTTGTGTGTGTATGTCCTTGTTAGTTTTATTTAGTAGTTACTCATATTTAGTCCACGGTATACTATATTTTTAATCAACTTTTAGTTGACTAAAAGTCTGGGTATTTTAGTCAAAAGAAAATCAAAAGTATTTTCGTCTAGTTTTAGTCATTAACCATCATTTTAGTCTTTTCTATCTCATAAGTATAATTTTGATTAGCATTTTGGTCAATCTGCTCCAAAATAGAGATATTTATCATTTTAGTCTTTATTTCACTCATTTCACATATAGATGTTTTGTAAAATTTGAATGTTAGCTTTTTTCTAATTTTTATTGCAAAGGAGACATTAACTTACCTCAATACCCAGGTGGTTAGCCTTGATATGCCAGATACCAGTGTTTTTTCCAAAAATCTTATAACCACATCGCTTGCGTATAAATAGGTACTCTGGTAATCTCTACTATCACAATAGTAATCTTTACTCATTACCATTGACGGCAACATTGCCAAGCACCATTGCTCTAAAAGTTGCTCTGTGTGTCATCAGCTTAATGTTTTCCTCACGCACCAGGTGGTCGGCCAGCATTCAAAGCACATGAAGAAAAAATTATTGCTGAATGAACACACTGTTCAAGTCAACATTTAGAGGGAGAAAATATGGCCTGTAATATTTTGTCTCATTATACTGACAAAAAGAAAGAGAGATTTTATTAATGTTTTTATTTTATGAATTACATTTTAGTCTTGTCATTTTTCGTCAACAATATTGCATGTTAAGGTAGTCACAGTCAGTGTTTAAGTACATTGTCGCCGCATCGTCATCCTCTCATTTTAGTCACGGGAAAAAAAGTTTGTTGACAAATATATTTCATTTAGTTTTGTCTGACGAAAGTAACACTAGAATAAAATGGATCCAGTTTACTTGGTCAGACAAATTCACGTAGGCAAAAATGTTTATAAATCCTCAAACATACCCTAAACCTTAACTATAGAATGTAACAAGAATGAAAATTCCCATGAATTACATCCACAAAGACCTTACATTCAGAGTGCCATATTTGAGCAAGGCCAACACCTTTAACTTCCTGTATAGTCTATTATATGACACTGTAGCTTATGCAAAGCAAACATGAAGAGTGAACAAAAGCAATTGAAGAAGCAGAAAAAGGATAACAAGGAAGGAAGGTTCTTCTCACCTGCACTCTGTGGGCTGGTCCAGGTGCCGCTGCGAGAGCCTGTGCTACCACTGCAGGACCTGCTGCCTCGGCCTGTTCCAGCAGGCACAGCTGGTTTGTGATGTTGGCCATCTCTTCCTGCAGACGCTCAGTTTCGACACTGATCTCGGCAATTTTCTCAGCAGCGGATGCCGTGAGGAACGCCTCTTTGAGGTCTACCAGGTGAAGGGTCCTCTTCTCCTCCAGACGCACCAATCTGCGGAGCTCATCGAACTGGGTGTTCACATAAGCCTCTAGCTCCTCTGTAGACATCTAACATATGCAGATGAGGTATGGGACACAGAAAGGGAGAGAGCCTGAGTGAAGGACTGCGGAATGGGGATAAATGTATGTAGTCCGCAAGTTACCAAGATCGAAAGAGATTCTGGGCTGCCATTTCAAATGACCCGGAGTGAAGTATTTCAGTGAATCATATGTATGAATCATTAAGATGAGCTTATAAAAACTGCGATGAGATGACAATTTATATGTAAGGATATGAAATGAACATGCAGTGTCGAAATAGAGAGACGCATATGGGATGACCACAGTATAGGGGCCAGAATTTTACTTTGACATGCGAATATTATTTTAATAAACCCACTGGTCTCATTCATGCAGTAGCTAATTGATAGCATGAAGCAGATCCCCTGGAGGCAAACATACCATCTGTAGATAGAGACCTCAGAGGCTCCTTCTTCCACAGCCAGCCATCTGTTTGGCTTTCAAGGCAACTACACTGCTCACTGAGATACCTTTTTAATCCATTTCCCTGTTCTCTGATGAGGCTCTCTTTAGCTATGACTCATTATGTTGAAACGCCTCAATAAACACACGCCTCCCTAAAATCCTTCCCACTGTTATGGCTCCACCTCCAACGCAGATGCTGTCAAGAGGCAAAACACCCCAAAGTCCCTTGTCATGATCTCTGCTCCTGAATGTTATAATCACGTCAATCTATGAACATCAGTTGCTCTGTCTCTCCTCTTCCCTTGAGCAGAACTTCACTTTCTTCCTTTCCATCTATTTTATCTTGTTTCCCCTCAGCCACCCTCTCTCCAGTGAAGCAAAGACTCATCAGTCTTTACTGAGGTTGGCAGAACCACAGCCCCTTGGGGCCAAAGGTTTTATCGTGTATTTGCCATTTCTGCACAAGCAATCAGATTCTCCAAATTGCCCATTAAACCAAGAGCAAGAAGTAACATTTTTAATTTACTTTCTTTGTATGAGCAGAGAAAAAAAATTGTGCATTGTTCATTCTGAATGAGACAGAGAGACGTAGTTAACATCTAATTGGAAAGCAAAGAGTAGTTTTCTCTTTTTGATTCACCAAAAGCATCACCCTGAATACATTTCTGATGAATTAGGGACAACAGACTGCAACTGCCTTGGAGTAGCAACATGTCCCGTTCCTTGTCCAGATACTCAAGTGTGAATGTGGAAGATTGGAGCGAATGAAGCATCATTTTCCAAATCTATGATTCTGTGCCTCAGGAAGTTCTTTTTCTTTAACCCAAAGAGCAATAAATGTGCTCAAATATAATAAATCCTCTGAATTAACAATATAGGCTGATTAAATCTTATAGAAGACTCATTCACTTACAAACCTATTCACAAATGACAGAGCTTTTACTAGTCACTTGTCAAGGACACCCAATGTGGATCAACACATTCAATATTCAAATCCAATTCCCCAGCAAATCTAAATAATCCTTTAAAATATTAATTTTTAAAGCTTAGACATATGCTAGGTATTTACATTTATTATCTTTTAGCCAAACAGAATATATGTCTGTCAACGTTTCCAATGATATCTATAAATTCATTAACAGCTAGCAAGTCAGGTGTAGCTTTAGCATTCAGCTACCATCATGAATAACAACGAAGAGTTCATTGGAGCTATTTCTTGGCTATCAAGGACTTAAAGTGAGACTATGCAACTGATGTTAGCTAATGTTACAAATCATGTTTTTAACGGTAGCAAAAGTTAAATATATATATTGTGGTTGTCCTGACAATCCTGATTCAATTCACTGACTTTTGCTAATGTTATATTATGTTCTACAATGTACTGCAATCCTGTTGTTGACCACAGTGTTTAGCAAAAGTAAAATAGGCTAACTTTAAATATGTGGTACATCTGTGACAACAGATTAGCACTCATGAATGTCTCCAGTTGCATTCCACTTTGAATGGCATCATTTTACACAAATGAGTCATTCAGAACATATGTATTAATTTAAAGAGGTCATGTTATGCTAATTTTCAGGTTCATAATTTCATTTAAGGGTTGTACCATAACACCTTTCGCCCAATGTCAGCTGGGACTGGCTCCAGCTCCCTCGCGACCCTGTACGCAGGATAAGTGGTTGACGATGGATGGTTGTACCAGAACAGGTTTACGCCCTCTGTTGACTGCTCCGTTTTAGCTACTGAGTGAAGCATCTCACTTCTATTTGATCTTTGCTGGGAGTTGCACATGCACAGTGCCTACGTAAGGACAAGCAAGGTAGTGTGATCCAAAACAAAGCCGCTTCAAACGGTAATCGGCTTCGGTTCAGCCGTGCGTGCATGAGCTTGAGTCTGCCTGACTCTGATCCCGAAACACAGGCAAAATAACCCAAACCAGCTTCACAACCTAGACTGGAACAATAGTTTAAGAGTGTTAATTTGTAACAAATGTATCTTTCTTATGCAACATTTTAACTGTGCACTGTCATCACAGTTACACCTTTATGTCCATTGACTGCCTGGAGAGTGTCTAACATTATTGTTAGATACTCTCCATTATAATTATTTTACTTTCATATTTAGTCTGAGGACGTGCCACACCAGGCACTAGGCAAGCATTAAGAAATGTGTTATACAATGATGTAGATAGGTTACGGAAGCAAAGGCAGGACTACAATCCATCTGTTTTCAGGCAGTTCAGAGCCGTCTCTTCTGTGGGAGATGTTAACTCCCTTTGGGGTGGACTTTTTCACTTTGCAAACCTATTACATGCACAAAAAAATATAAAATACAATAAAAGGAAAAAGGCCAAAAAGCATAATATGACCTCGATAGAAAATCTGCATCTGCGAATCTATGGCCATGACAGGAGAATGGAGAGAAAGCAGCTAGCATAAATCATGAAGAACAATGTTACCCAAGAGCAGAGCTACAACATGAATAGGGCACAAAGAGTTGCGCTATAAAACTTATCTGTCATCAACATGACTCATTCCATCGCCGCATCTCCCAATCTCCACGAACTCCACAGAGCCCCATGCCCCCTCAACAGTCAACAGAGTCGTGATCCTGGATCTGTGCTCTTTGTGTTTGTGGAGCAGGAGCCCTCTGTCCTCGGACAATTCACTCAGTGACAGAGTTTCTCTGAGAATTTGTCCAACTAGCAAGGAAAGAGCATTCATGCGTGCTAATCTTCATTTGCATTGCTGCAAGATGAGGCCACGAAATGAGGCCTCAGGAGAGACAGCGGCACACTGCTTACAAGGGCAGAGTTAGAGGAAGGACAGGGGACGAGAGTGAATGAGAGAGAGAGAGAGTACAGGCAGAGGTAGGACATCAGGCAAGCAGATTAAGAAAGCAAATTTCTTCTGAAGCAAAGGTAGCAAGTTAGGGCAAGCAGATTAGGAAAGCAAATTTATTTTTCAGTGTTTAACATGCTTTGCATTATAACTAGAACCATTCTTATTTAAGGAGTTTAGGCATGACAAGCAAAGAAAGGGGTAATGCAAATGCCTTTGTCACTTCAGACCTCACATATGCAATGTGATCTACAGCCACGTCTCTCTATCAAAACTGTAATTTTAGCCATAAAATGTCAACTTGAATCCTGTTTTTATTACTTTATAGACAATATATGGGAGATGGGAGATGTGAAAGGGGCTGAAAGTTGAATTGTGAGAGAAAGCTAGGATCTGTGGCTTGCTGAAAATAGAAAACTTCTAATACATTCCACAAACACTTGGTTACAATATAGCAAGACACTCAAATAGAATTAAACTTCACACGTTGGTGTACTTTATGGACTGGCTACAAAAAAGGTTGCGCTACTCATTAGCGCTGATGAAAAAAACTGCAGAAAAAGAACCAAAGCCCTTGGGAATTAAACTATATCAGTGTAAAAAAAACAAAAAAAACAAACAAAAATGTTGTCACATTACTTTGGTGAGACATCAAGGGACTACAAAAGTAAACTGAAAACAGCTCATGACAAATATCAAAGTAGCCCTCAGCTTTTAATCTTAACCTCTTCAACTGTGCAGTGGGTCCATCATTACAAATGCATTTTAGTCGACAAAAGCATTTTCATTTGTAGGTAAGTCCCAACGATATGTTATACCAAATTACATGATGGTTATGATGAATATAAGACATCTAGAATTTACTGGTTGATTACTTGCATCCTGCAGCTTCAGTGAAGTGATGAAAAATGCAGATGCAGTATATATTTTTGGAAACTGGCATAGAGAGATGAAAATGTTTTATCTAACTTTGATGCATCTTAAGATGAATTGTGTAAACGCTAGAGTTCAAATGGTGAACTTTCTTTGAATGTTCTCACTGCCAAATCAGAGCCGCTCCTGCTGCTTATTCAGAGGTCTGTTTTGTGTGATGCTTTTTAAAAAAGGCCTAAAGAGCATTAATAGAACATTAGGAGTAAATGGGTTTGAACTGTCCTTGCCCTTGGCAATAGTGGCCCCGTTCCAAGTGAACACTACTTTCTCTCTCTCTCACGCTCTGTTTTATTGCTTCCAGAAATTTCATTCTCCAATTTAGCTTCGGAAACAACACAGCAATACATAGAAAGTTAATTTAAAAAAAATACCAGCTCTCCAAAAGTCATGTAAAGTAATATAAAGCGGGCAAGCAAGAGAAGTTAAAAGAGGGAGAAGAAAAATGAGACAGAAGGCCTTTGGTTTTATAATAGCAGAGTTTCAATATCCAGCACCTTTTTATTGGTTTTCAGAGATGTCAGCCATGCAACTTTCTGGGGAATGATACAGAGTAATTCAATTAAAACGGCATGAGTAGAGACAGAAAGGGAATGACAGCCTTAAAGAGCAATGCAGAGGGGGGGGGGGGGGGGGTATGGTACAGAAGGACAAGAAAAAGCAAGATGAATAAACCTAACAGCAACTAACTGCCAAGTCTTTTCATGCCTCTCCCGTCTGTTCCTCAGCCCCAGCTCCCTAAGACAGTTTTAATGTGTCTGCTGCTCTTGTGGATTTTATGAGGCAGGGAAAATGGATGTAGCCGAGGGCTGGACAATTAATTGAAAAGTAATCGAAACCGAAATTCAGAGCCTCTAGAAGACGTAATTTCCCCATGTTGGTTATTTTGGTTATTCAATCCAGTAAATAATGTATGTGTTCATGTACTTTACCCTTGAAACACTGCGGGTGTAGTCATGTAACTCCGCCCCGTCCAGTCCTGCTCAGCCTTCAGACCTTACAGTCTATGAAGCACAGGGGATGTTAGCTAGCGCTAACCGCCTTCACTTTCCGGCAGTTGTGGAAACAACAGAGACTTTTATTAACGGACACGCTGTGACCTACACTGTATATTTACCGCCAGACTAACTTATTAGGCTACCCGCTCGCTTTCTGTGTCACTTTCTGCCGCTCTCTCTCTCATTCGCTCGTCCGCTCACTCGCTACGCACACACATTGCGCTGCAGTTAAAAGACATAACTCCGCTGCTCTTATAACAGCACGTGTCACGTATATGTACCTTGATGAATGAGGAGAGGAAGCAAGCAAAGCGTGTTTTGCCGTGTTCACACAGTGTGTGGGTGGAAATCATTTGTTCCCCATTGATATTAAATAACTGAGTTAAAGTTTAGTAGCATTCAGGTGAAATTTTCAATTAATCGTGATTTAGATTTTAGGTGAAATCGTCCAGCCCTAATGTAGCTAATGCACACACATACACACTTTTGACTGGCTGGTGTTGCCCTGCTGCTTCTAGATATCGGACCTCTCTCTCTGTAGCCGCAGAGAGAGAGGCTCCACAGGCAGGGTGCGCCCTAGACAGCGCCTAGCATGGCAGAAAGTAAGTGAGTAAATAAAACATGACAGAGAGGTAAATATGCCGACTACCTGCTGTCCTGGTCTAAAGCCACAACATGTCTGACATATCATTTCAAGCTCTTTGAAAATAGCTAAGGAAAGCTGACTTGTTAAATGACAGACAGCCATCAGGGCCCCTTGTGTTATGTTACACCTCCGGCCCGCCATTAATATGTTGGCAGCCTTGTCACAGTTTTTCTGCATTATATTCCATTTCCCTGTGGAGAATGGAGATATGAGCTTTGAGAGATTAAAATCCCCACACCTGCGGCAAAGTACATAATTAAGCAGGTTAGTTTTAATAAGCAAACACCAGCTAAGGGTTAAATCTTTTCATTCACCCTTCTCTTCCTCAGACAGCTGCTCACAACTCATCCTCTCTGAAGTCCTTTACCGTGCACTTTCACCCCCAGCAATTTCGGTCTTCTATCGCTTTCTTTTTTTGCCTCTGTCTTTCTCTCTTTCTCTCTGACACACACACACACACACACACACAAAAACTTTCCTCACCAGGAGCAGTCACTCTGATGGTTACCTGTCATGCATAATAAGAAACGCTGGCATTTGAAGGTGCAGACAGGACACACTGACAAATCCACATAATGGTGTCTAACACAGTGCCCTGTGAGTGAGCAGGTAAATGGTTTTTGCCGAGTCAACTGCACCTCTACAGTGGAACAGCATAAGTCTAAATGTCCAGGAAGTCCTTGGGGCAGCATTGATATTTCAGTATGATAATAGACATGAACTCGGTTGGGGCGCTGGCTGCAACTAAAAGTGTTTCCTTTCGCAGGCCAGTAAAATTAACCTTTCTACATTATGCCACAGTGCCTCGGTCACATCTCTGCAGGACCTGAGCAACACTCCTGTGTGCCAGTGCTCTCCGATGGGTTCAGATACAGTATTATAAGCAGAGCATAAGGAAGAACAGCCGTTGCAGGGGTGGTTGAGAGAGCAGACGTGGCGGCAGTCGATGGTAAAAAGAAGAGCGGAGACATAGCTGTACATATGCCCCTGATCCTGCCACCCACTGTTGCATCTCTCACTGCACAACACGCAACTGTATGCGGTCAGGTTTTATTTTCAGTGGCAGAACAAGGCCTCACTATGGTATCCAAAATGGAAATACAGCCACTGTTTTCAAGGTTGACTTGTCATGAAAATTCAGTTTTTATTTTGTCTGATATAAAGAGAAGGGTGACTGTGTGCGAAATACACCCTGCATTTCAGATGGAAACATGGTGAAGGTTAGACTAAAAGGCCGAAATAAGGTTATGGTCATTGTTTCAGCTTGTGACCATTAATAAGACAATCTTAGTGGAACACTTGGCCATTGCTCAACAACATCCATCCAGTATATAACAGATCAACATTGCTTGAGCATAAAGGAGTGTGTGTGTGTTGTGTGTGTGTGTGTGTGTGAAAAGATTTAATGAGTGTACAGAAAACGTGAAATATATATTTTATGTACAATGTAATGCAGTCAAATACATCAGTCCTCTAATAACTTCTAACTTTGTGAATGTAAGTGTTGATACATCACTTTGGTCAATTATGAGGGTGTAATGAGTATTAGTCTTATATTGGGCTACATTATATTGAAATGTTTATTGAATATTTTGTCCACATCCTAAATTTATATGGAGGTGTACAAAATATTTGAAATATATTTAATGCAGTATATAATACAGTACATCCACCCTCCAAGACTGATTTTTTTGTGTGTGTGTAATTTCGGTATTTTTAAACCTGGGTCCTAGTTTTGCATATTTTGGTGTCGAAATGACTAGTAGGTAAAAAAGGTTTTGGGAACAGTGCAGTAGATGGCCTCAGCCGGCAATCGATGAGAAGGAAAAGAGGAAAATCTGGTGGAAACGTGGGAGAGGAGTTTGTTGTTTAGAGGAACAGCTGGCAAGACTTACTCCAACAAAACAAACTCCTCTATCCAACTCTGACTCACATTTCCACCGCCGTCTTCCTGCAGCATCTCGCTAGATTTCAGAGGGAGAACTGTCATTGAGTGAGACTTCAGCTTCATGTTAGAAACAAGGGGTGTCACCGGGAGTCACTAGTAGGGATCCTTTCCATGATGTTGTCAGATACCTGGTATAACAGTCTGAGACTGTCTGTGGCAAAAAGAAGCACTTTTTGTGGGCGTAACCTTGATGGGCACAATTGCCACAATGGAACACGTTGAAGCCATCTAATTTTTGTACCTATTAGTCATTTCACCCAAAATATGTGAAAATAGGCTTTTTCACCTATTGCTTAAAAATACCTAATTTTAGCAAGTTTAAGGGTTTAGAAACAGCTGGAGGGTATTCTGTATTCCTCTCTATTTTATACATCACAATGCCACATTTACAGTGAAAATACAACCTCTGACTTAGCATAGAGTCCAAAAAGTAACATCAGCTGAAGCCTGAAAATGACATGACTCAGTAATCACACAATGATGCCATTGCACGTTCCAAGTAGAATTATATCTGCAGAAACCCAATAGGCCAGATCTGTGAATGGGGTGGCATGATAAATATATGGATTGAAATAATTGGCTCTCATGTTTACTACCCAATGCCTTTATGACATAATCTCTTTCTAATCCCTCTTTATCTCATTCTAGACTGCTGTGTCTTCACCGCTGCAGTGTCTACACTGCTGCAGTGCTTTCTGCTGTACCCACTGAATTAGACATGAGTAATGGCTCTTTTTTTTGCTCTGTAATGTCCCAATAGCTTGCAACCTGGTTCAACCATTTTTTGAACCTCAACTTATAAAATGTAATAATTTTATTGACATAACCAATTTGATAAACAAAAAATAATAATTTAGCTTTTTTGAATAAAGCTTAACACTTGGCAAAAATAATAAATCACACATTCATGGTCTTCAAGTCTGATTGTGAGAAATCCAAGCTAGCCTTGGTAGTTTAGAAAACCATAGACTGGGGTAACTGAAATATAGAGTTGCATTTAGAATATAAAAGTAGACCTGCAGGGTCTGCAGTGTGAATTTGTAAGGCTGCCTGAGAATGCTTGGCCTAATTATGTACATAGATAAAGATTATCCTTTGTTGGAGACAGCCCTAGAATCCACAGCAAGAAACCTTGGAGCCACAATATTGTATAACGGTGGGCCATTAAATTAAGATGAAACAAAACAAAGTGTGACAAACAAGTAACTACAAATAATTGAATATTAAAGCATTGCAGATTATTTTATACACGTGTACTACCCCAACTATTATCACCTGTTTGTACATTATGAAAAATATGAAAGAATTAAAACAATTCCACAGAAAAAGCAACCTTTTGTATTTATGGTTTGTGCTTTTTTGCAGCAATTACAACTACACAGTATGTTTGCTATACTTGTTTCAGCTTTATCTGAAATGCTAAACGTGAGCATTGTCATCTTAAAACTGCACTGAGAGATATCTTTGTTAGGAAATCACCAGCAAATGGAATCAAACCACATGGCACAATTACATAATAAAAATTAATGCAATATGCACATGGTACGCTGTCATTCCTCGCAAGGAGGTCAAATACAGCTTCTACTGCTGCAGAGAAACTCTCATTTCATTTGATAAGAGTTGGTTGGAGCTCATTACTAAATGAGAACAGTTGAGTGTAAATCTTTTGGGAGAAGTTTGCTATAAATGGACCTCACCGTTTAACTCATGTTAAGATTTGACAAAGTGTTGTGCATGCGGGAGTTTACGCTCACCTCAGGGTTGGTCCACTTGGTCTTGATCTTCTCGGCCATCTGTTGTGTACAGCCCAGCAGGTCATAACCCTGCCTGCTCTACAGGTGGAGCAGACAAACACAACACAGTAAAACACCACACAGTGTGCCACTACATAAAAAACAGCACTCGTGCAGAGATTCTTTCTGTGTGACTCAAACAATACAAAAAAACACAGAGTTTCAAATTTACTTATGCTTAACTCTATACAAAGAAAGACTGGGTACATTGACATGCTACATGCTCATTGCAATGTAAAATCATATCACCACTCTTGGACATAAAGGGTTCTCTCACATGAATACACTGATACAGGATGCAGGATAAAAGCTAGAGGAAGTTTAGGGTAATTAATGTGACCTTAGGCTGTGTGTGTGTGTGTGTGACCCTGTTTGTCTCTCATCAATCCATATGTGGTCTGTGCTCTACTTTTGTTTTTCAGATGTACAGCCACAGGGCAGAGGACAAAACTCTCGCTCTGTAAAGTACAGCCAGCACACCATAAGGGTCATTACTACTAAAACTAAATGCTCCGGCTTTGTGTGACGGTATTCAAATGAACCTCTCACTGAGATTTTCCGATTCTGTTTATTTTAGTGTTCACAAACAAAGCCCTTTACTGTTGAAAATATTAATCCAAAACTAAGACCTGGTTTCTGATACTATCACACCCTGTTAATTGCTCCTCTGTGCAATAACACAGTCCAAATGTGTTCAGTGTGCTGATAACATCTGACTCTAAAATGGTGTTATGATCATCACAAACACTATGCTCTGCAGAACTGAGCCCATAGTGATGGTGGAGTTATTCTCAGAATCCAGCACAGCATTAGCCTAGCTTACTGAACCAACTACAACTGCTGCACTGAGCGACTGGTGACTCCCTTGACCTATTAAATATTCCTGAAGCAAAAAGCCATTTGGGAAATGGAGGAAGGGTGAAGGCATAATTGGCGCCAAGCCAGACGGACATTGGGATGTATTCATAATGTTTAATTTCCATTTCACAGTTTTCATAGAAATTATTTATGTCGCTGCGAAACTAAATCATTAACAGTGCCATGTTGGTGATCATGATGATTTTAAGTTTAAACTATTACATAGAGCCCTGGTGAATTGACTTACAGACTAGAGGGCCTACAGCTATTGGCATACTATTAAATACTGAATTAGAAATGCAAAACCAGATAGGAAACACTCTGAATACATTATGTTATACGTTACAGAGCTGCAGATGTTGTGGAGTATGCCACTGTGATTAAGTACAGTAGAGGGCATACAGTAAATCACACATAACTGCTCTACCATTTATCAATCTGTCACGTTGTGAGTGTGTGACTCACCTTCTGCCACAAGTAGGCCTCATGCAGAGTGACAATCTCATGCTCACGGTGCTCACCCTGCACGGCGCACACCACACAGATGATCTTCTCGTCTGGTTTACAGTAGAGGGAGCCTTCCTGCCTATGCTCCTTGCAGCGCAGTCTCTCTACGGTCACAGTGTCCCTCTTCCCAGCCTCTCCAGCGGCCATGGCCTCCTGCCCTGCTTCTGCACCCTCAGCGCCGTCACCGGGCTCAGCCTCCAGCTGCAGAGCATCCTTTATTCCGGCATCCCCGCTCTCATCGCCATTGGCCATTGCCTCTCCACGTATTGCCATCCCCTGAATCGCGCCCATTCCAGCTACCCTCTCCTCACCAGCCTCCTCCTCAGCTCCAACTCTGGAGTCTCTGCTGGTGCCAAGTCCATTAGCTTGTGTCCCCTCATGGTTGTAAGGCATTATCTGGTGATGTGTGCTGCTGGCATGTCTGTCAGCATGGGCAGGGCAAAAGGCAAAGCTGCAGATGTGGCACACTTGCGTGGCTGGTTGGGCCTCATCGGGCTCGCACGCATCACATGACCCATCCATCTGCGGAAGCTCCTCTTGTTTCAGCCCCATAGCTCCTTCTTGGGGTTCCCCTTTGTGGTCCATGGTGGCTGAATAGTTCTGGGGGTATGTCTTACAAGAGACACACAGAGTAGAGGATAGGTTATTAATAGCTGTGACCTTCTGTGAACAGCTCTCATATTTGCACTGGGGAAAGTCCAAAATCCTCGGGACTAATCCCCTCTGATATAATATTCCCACAACAGATGATATATGGAGGGAGCCAAAGTCCACAGGAAACAATATCCAGAGCAACACTATCACACAAGCTACACAAAAATAACGCACCATTTTGCAAGAGCAATAAACAGGAAGACTCAATCTATAGTCACTGGCCTGTCTTGGTGAGCAAACAGTCACTTTGTTTACCGACTCAGAAACAGAAAGTGCTGAGTGTGTACCACTGTACCCTCAGCAGGACCGAACACCCGCTCCCCTTCTCTCACCTCGCCCTGCCTTATGTCATCAGGCCCTGACCTTTTTCGTGTTTTGTTCGTTTTTTTCTGTGTACTCTCTCCCCCTCTTTACAGTTCACTCTGCAGGAGTGAAGCTGAAAGACAGTGCATGCCTTGTACACAGAGCACACACACAAAGACATTTTTTGCTCCTCACTTTCTCTTTTTCCTCGGAGCCTTCCTCTCCTGAGCTTGTGTACCCTTTTTTTCACTGCTGACACAAACAACCGGTAGAAAAAGTGCTGTAATGCAGAAATTGAAAAGTCCCTCTCTCCCCCTTTTACCACAGCTCTCTGCTATTTTTCTGTCTCTGTCACGTAGTGCCTCCTCACTCACACACACACACACCGGCATTTTCTCCCTCACCCTTTGGGGCTTACCAGTTTGCAACTCACTGCAGTGTAACTTACTTACTCGTCTCTGTCTTCCTCTCCCCTTTTCTTTTTTCTGTCTAGGTCTTGTTTTGAGATAATGTGGAATCAGTGGAGGAATTAGCTTGACGGCTAACTTCCTTAGCACAGCCGTTGTGCCTTGAATTTTATTACAGCGCTGCCGACTGATCTACTTTAAATTTACTGTAGAATAGGGGCTCCAGCTCCGATCCGACAGCATTCACTTCCTTATTTACATCAGCTGCTGTCTGCTTTTTTTCGACTTCCTGCTTGTAGTCTCCTGCGTGTGTACAACGGCAGAGACACTTAGAGGCTGGAGAGAGAAAACCTGTTCGACAAGCACAACAAAGACAGTGAAACTCCAAACCCGAGGCAGGTAGAAAGAAAACGATTCTCACAGTTTTAACGTTACGTTAATACGAATAGCTTAGTTATGTCATGGGCGAGACTTACTTAGTGAGTTTCACAGATAATTAACGCTAATTGTGACACAGTAAGTTAAGTTACCTTATTTGTTTAACTTTACCCCCAGCTGCCAAATATGCTAAGTTAATTAATTCCGCCATTCAGGGTAACTTAACTAAAGTTACAGGTCAGGTCAATAACGTTAGCGCAACGCTTTTATTTTAAATAGCTAACGCTACACTTCATAAATGTCACATCAGAAAGCTGTTAAATTGCAGTTCATGTGTTGAAAATGCTATAATTTTCTCAGCAACAGAAACACACAAAACTCCCCAGAAACTATATGGTGATGACAGAACTCATTGTCTGCTTTGCATTGATGATTAACTTAACAGTAATAGCTGAGCCACTGTTTTTATCAAACAAACAGGCTTAACAAGTGTTCCCAACCGAAACCATGTCAGGTTGTATGACAACATCCTTAACGACATACCCTTTTCTTTTGAAAAGCGTAACTTTTCTGCCTTACTGTGACAAAGATGGAAACCTGAAAACAGCCATTCTGGCTGTCATGTTATATTAATTATATATTAACAATAGAACAGGCCATAAAAGTGCAAAATGAACATGGGAAAATGATCATTACAAAAAATAAAAAATTGCAGGTTATTGTGAATGATTATTAATGGAAGGTTATTGTTGGGAGTAATATGATTACATAGTTGTCCTGGTGTTGTGAAGGCCTACTGGGCTGTGTATTAATGTACTATTCATACCAAGTATTCTATTAGAGTATGTAGTGCATTCCAAATTTATTAAAATTTATATATAATATGTGGATTTTGTATATGCGAGAAATGAGCAGGTATACACTAGATTAGCAAGAGTATATGGCATGCGCTTCTTGCACATACTCAACCGCCCCAAAATTTATTGCACTTCTTCAGACGGTTCTACAGACAGACCACATTGTAGTTTGTTTTTTTATTTTGTAAGGTATTTCATCACAAAATTAACTGTGTGAAATCAACTGTGTAGAAAATTTATGGTAAATCAAAAATGTGCTCTAACGTTTTTGGAGTTGAGAAGCTCTACAAGCGCCAGCGTGGCTAGCTAGCAAACCAGCCAGCCAGTCCTGCTCACAGACCACTGCAGCCAACGACTTCAACAGAAATTCTGTTTAGTTAAGCACTGCTTTAGGAAAACTTCAGATAACATACCTAGCCAGAGAAAAACGCTAGATAGCACAACGCATTTCCATCCTCCTCCTAGTCCTGGCTCGGCTCAGCAGCCTCTACTTCTTCTCGATAAAGTACAGGTGCCCACAATGCCAAAACGACTAGGCCAAGTAATGGGTTTGCTGACCATGGTATTACTGTGCTTGACTGTCCAGCCAACTCACCTGACGTGAGTCTTATAGAGAATATATGGGCTGAGCAGGTCCTCCATGCCACACAGCAGTGATGTGGTAATTCGTGCAAAAGGAGCCCTGACCCAGTGCTGAGAGCATAAATGAGCCTGTTTCAGAACTTTTCAACTTTTCAGAAGGTCGACATTTCTGTATTATACATTCTTTATTTTAATAGTCTAATATTTAGAGATATGGCCTTAAATATCAGCCGTTAACCACAAACAATAGCCTTTACCGTTTTTCCCCTTTTTCTTTAATTTGACTTAAAGTAATAATTGAAAATAAAACATTTAGTGAAAATTTGTAAACAATTTTCTTTAAAAGGATACAGTCATGTGATGCAGAGAAGTCATGTGATGCAGAGAAGACATTGGTTAGTATACTTCAGTGTAAACACTCATGTTCATTTAGTAGGCAGTATGCAGTACATACTGACTGAGTATGTAGGTAATACTTTCGTATTCGATTTCAAATGCAGCCATAAATTCTTTTTTATAAACGACAGAATAGGTCGTTTGCCAATGACTTCTACAATGACATATACATACACAATCATGTCATGGTTAGTTTTAAGCATTTTCTCATTCAGGAAACACAGACAAAGATTTTGAACATCAGTCAGTGCATTCATACCAATGATGTACAACCTACAATCTCATCCATCATCAACTGCTTGTCCTGCATACGGGGGCTAGTCATCGGGTGAAAGGCGTGGAGGCTGGGGCAACCGGGGTTTGAGCCTCATATTTAAGTTTATTCATTAAGCACATTCATTGCAGGAATCTTTGGCATTCTGTAGAATCACCCTGAGGGGAGCAACTCAGGGTGAAAGGGATGTGTTTTGTCATGATGATTGACAGGGCTTTCAGCTGTACTGTAGAAGTCCTCTAATGGCTTTTGTTGGCAGCTTACCATCTCCGCTACTGTCTTAACAATCCTGGGCAGGTTGTTTCTATTTACTAAAGTCAAGTGCCCATACCAGACAGAGATATTAAAAACAAGGATGCTCGCTTATAAGGCTGCCATATACTTTTTCCTAAATTTCTTCAATTCAGTTTCCTAATTAAAAGCACTAACTTTCGGGCATAAATATTTTTGGCAGTTATTTTAAAAGGCATTAGTGTTTTTGTTGTATAAAGTGAATCAGATTATGCTAAAGACCTTCAAGAAACTTCATGATGACACCTGCCTCTTCAGTTTGTATGAGCAAGGCAGTGAACTGAACCTGCACTGAACAAGACCACGTCAGGCAAGCTTGAGTCAGTCAGAGTGCTAAAATACTTAATCAAAAAGTACAATACATTCCCATAAAATACAGCAGTGTGTATCGTATTTCGATTAATTTGGTCTCATATAGTAAGTGTACCTCCCAGGCTGACTGAACTCAAGCCCAATTCAATTGCTTTTCGTTCACTCACCATCGGCAGCATGAGCAGTACCACTACAATAAAATGAGCGGATTCGTGAGCAGTCGGGAATGTTCGTCTGGCTGACCCGGTACATATAGGACATTAAAAATTGTTGTTCAGAAGGATTTGTTTGTTCATTTTCACCCATCAGTGCCATCCATACAGTATGTGTTGTAGGTGACATGTTGTATGAGGTGAGAAGATTACTGGCAACTAGGGCTGAAACGATTAATTGATTAAATCGATTAATTCGATTACTAAAAAGCAATGACGCAAATTCTTTGCATAGCTGCTGCGCTGCCGCCACCAAGCAAAAGTATTTCTTAAACGATGCGTCGATGAATCGATGAAATAATCTGTAGAAGCTTTGAGTATTAAAATCATCGTTAGCTGCAGCCCTACTGGCAACCCTCTCCATGCACTTAAAGGGGTCAAGGTTACAAGGCAGAAGTCATTCAAATCTTTGAATCCTGGCTTTTTGGGTACTGGTCTGATAATAGATGCCTTGGGCACAGTGCAGGTGTGCAGTAAGAACTGGAATAGTTTGGTTAAAACCAGAGATGCTCACAAGTCTCTGAGCAAGAGTCCAAGTTAAGTCTCTAGTCTCTCGTGGTTATTCTGAATGTTGTATCACCTGCTGCGTTCAATCCAGGTTGCTAATAAAACTTCATAGCTATAAGGAATACTGAGAGCACAACCATGTAATGTGCAATGCAATTAACAACAGCTTATTAAATACTGTAAGTCAATAAAACTGTGACGTTGGATAATCAACAATAAATCTGTCTGTTTTTAACTTACAGAGCACAACCATGTAGCCTAATGTACAATGTGTCTACAATTAATGACAGCTTATAAACTACTGTAAGTCAACAAACCCTGTTGAGTTTCAAACCCAGTGTAAAGTTAACTAAATAATACATTAAAGTTACATGGTCAACAATAAAGCTGTAAAACCTGTTTTTAACTTACAGAGCACAACCTGTGCAATGTAGTTTATTACAGCTTATAAACTACTGTAAGTCAACACATCCTCCTGACTCTCAAATCAATAAAGCTGTAACCTGTTTTTCACAGAGCACAACCATAATGTGCAATGCAATCAATGACAGCTTAAACTACTGTTAAGTCAACACATCCTGCAGACTCTCAAACCAGTGTAATGTTAGGCTATAACTAAATAAAACTGTAAGGTTAGGCTACATGATCAACAATAAACCTGTAACCTCTTTCCAGCCAACGGCAATAATTAACGTGATGGCAGCCATTAATCGACCACCAAAAGTTTGGCAAATAAACAAACGCTCATTCATCTTTTCGTAACGAACGACAGTCAGAGTAAACCTCCCGTAGCTCGTAGCTGAAGCAAGAAGCAAGCTAACATTAGATGGCCAATGCTGAGCTAAACATGTTCACTCACCACATATTTGCGTTCAGCGCTTCTTTGTTTGGGTCTTGTTGTATGAAGTTCTAAAGCCAAAGTTTATGATAAATGGTGCAGCAGCTGCCGCTGTTTGTTTTCCTCTCTCATGTACGGCCGCGCACAGCAGATGTTACGTGTCCTAAAAAATAAACATTGTTCACGAGTCCCGCACCTCGAGTCCGAGTCGAGTCTGAAGTCTTTTGAGGATGAGTCTCAAGTCGAGTCTGAAGTCTTTTGAGGACGAGTCTCAAGTCGAGTCTGAAGTCGTGAAGTGTGTGCGTCTCTAACTCGTGTCCCCATCTCTGGTTAAAACTGACCTTCACTGGATGGAGCACACTTTCAAAACTAGTTCACGTAGGCCATCAGGTCTGAGTGCTTATGGGGCTTATTCCAAGAGAGGCAGGCGCCAACCTTCTCCAGCTGGGTTGTGGGGTTTTGGGGTATGTTGGTACAGATGGCATTGCTCCTGTCTTTAAAGCCTGAGGTGTCAAGGTTCATTCATGAAGAAGAGGCTGTCCATACAGGTATCCTCTTGTCTTTTAAGCATTCTGCATTCTGCTTGTCTGGGGTTCCCTGTGCAGAACTGCTTTTGTACTTTGTTCTTAAAATCAACTTTGGTTTTGTGTATCTTGGCCCGAGCTCCTTTCTTTTGTCTTTGACACCTTCAGTGTCACTGCTGAGGAATGCTACCTTTTTGTCATTAAGGCATCTTTTCAAGTCTTTTGATGTCCAGGGCTTGTTTTTCAAGGAATACTTTGACGTTCTTTGGTTGATCGTATTTCATAGTGTCTTTTTCTGACAGACTGTGACCGAAGTGCATCAGAGCAGAACTCCTTGGTCACTCAGTTTGTCTGGTGCGGAGGAGTTCTGCACTCGACTTGACAGCATGATTGTTTGGAGGGCGAGATGATCTCCAGGCGAATCTTAGAGATCGCAATATTTAATGTCCTCTGACTTGTGTTTCCAAAATTCAATTGACCTCATTGACTAGCGGATCTGCGCTAAATGAACAAACCAACGAGAGCCAACGAGATGGCTATGCTGATTAGACCAATTAGCCTTAACATGGCTCTTCCTTGGTTGACGTATTGTCAACAATGCAACTTGAGCTTGAATGAAGGAAAAGTGTCATTTTATGATAGTTATCTTTTGGCTCCTGTTTACATTTTAATTACTTATTTTACTTTATTTACTTTAAATTAAACTCAGGTTTTAATTACTATTTTGAAATGGTGCAAATGGAGAAACTGATAGGCTATTTCAAGTATGACAATAGTCTACAGTGCATTTCAAAAAAAGATGGATCATGATGATTATAGAGATTGTGATATTATTTTTTGACCTGATCACCTACCCCTACTTTTCAGTTTCAAACTGGGATATGTCCACGTTGACTTTTGTTTTCACATGGGACACGAACAGCGGCCACCCGGGTGAAAGACTTTGTCGCTCTTTATACTACCTCACCGGACTTCCTCCTTTGCTCCCGTCATAATTACTACAGCCACTAGATGTTGCCACTTAACATTAATCCTTCATATGGGTCGTAATAACCCGCTTACAACTAGGGGTGAAACGATTAACGGTTTAACGGTAAACCATGGTAAAATTCCCGACACCGTACACATTTTAATTAACACGATAACTGGGTACGGTTAACCGCACTGTTATAATCTCACGGCAAACACTGTCCAATGTTGGGTTTGTTTGGGTCAATGACAACACTGTGGAAGACAACGCTGCGGAGATTTTTCAGTCACTCTGAAGTCCGGTCGTATTTTAGTTTTTATGAGAGTGCTGAGGGAAACTTTATTGAAGAAAATAACCTAGTGAACGCAGGGTGAGTTAACTTTTAGCTTTGGTTTGTCTCTCTGACTTGCTAACAGCGTGTAAACTGAAGCTCTCAGTGTTGCTGATCTTGTAAAAACGCTACACGTTGTTCTGTTGCTGTGTGCGTCGTGTGTCGGCAGAGTCTATTCGTCCACTGCACATGATAACACGTTACACAGTTCAGTCAACCAACCAGCATATCTAGAAACGCTACAGTCAGCTTTTGGGCTCATTGCAGTTACTATCACTGTCTTCTAAAGACTTATTTGTTTTCATGTAATTGTCCACGGGATCATTGTATTACCTATATAATATAAAATATAAAATCTTGATAATGCACACTTAGATGATTTTCATTTCAGGTATTTGCTGTTATTTTATTTTTTATGTAAACAAAATGGCAATTGTATTTGTAGTTTTCAATATAAAACTTGTTGAAATGGTTTCATTTCATTCTGTTTTATTTTATGAACATTATTATAATAGATTGAATGAACTTGGTCTCAGCCATTTCAAGCAATGAAAAAACATGAAATTGCTTTGTAAGAATGTTCCAGTAGATCATTATATAAAGAGCATGACCGCTACTCCTGTTACTGTACAGATCTGAAATAGTTGCTTTAAGACTTCAGTGAGATTTGAGACTTATTTTTTTTTAAAACAGAGATTATTTTTGTGATTCAAATGTAATCATCAAAAAGTTGTCATAATGATAATGGCAGTATCTGGGGACGAGATGAAAGTCCTGTCTTCCTTTGGGGATTTGGCAAAGTGAACGAAAGCAATATGCTGATATCACAAAATCCAATCCTATTTTCCCAGTGAGCGTTTCAGTGGTGTTAAAGGAAGTGCTACAAGCTACAAGGCCAAACGCAGATCATTTATTATCTGAATACAGGAAAGGGTTCAGCTGGAAGAGGAAACAAATTGTAAATTTTAACACCAGTGTTAATGGGGAGTTTCTAATTATGATGTCTGCTTTCCCCTTCTGTTCATGTCCTTACCCTCCAAAAACCAGCACTGAGACAATGGAGCAAGATTAGAAATCTGGCGAGAGAGAAAGAGAGATGAGGACAAACAAGCTGTTCTCTTTAGAGAGATCTAAAGAGGCCATTGAGCTGAGCTTCACACAAGCAGTATTTGGCAAATAATTGTTGCCCGTTTCTCTGATTTGAAAGGCAGACCATAAATAACCATGAATCACGTTCCAAGTAAGCCTCCAGCTTCCACTTGATATGGATGATGATGCTGTTTTTGCTAAAGTCTTTGAGCTGTTTTGAAGTGGAATGCTCTTACAGAACGACCGCCACCAGAAAAGACGTATTATAAGACTATGAACAGAAAGGACGATTCAATGAAAACACATTTCACTTGCAAAACCAAATTCGCATTGGCATGAGACTTGCTTAAGCCGTACTGATGTGACGATTAAAACCCGAAACTGTGTTTGCAGAGAGCATTTAATCGTAACAGATGTACGACACTGATTAGAGTTGTAGTTGGAATTGAGGGCACAAATTGTTTTGCAAGATCACTTCCAACCATAAACGATCTTATACTATTGAACCACATGACATGGTGTGTGTGGGTGAAGTGAAATGGTCACCTGACATATTTTAAAATCTTTCACGGCATTAAACTCTGCTGAACAGTAAGCAGCAGCATAATCTTTCACACCACATAAAACTGACAACAATTAAAAGGCTCATTGACTTGCAGTTCATTAGAATACACACTCAATATAAATACAATATGTGGCTACTAAAAGGAACTTTGATTGATTCTTTTCCTACCCAGGGATTATAACGAAAGGAGCTATATTTGTGTACCTAAATTGTGTTTCTACAGCTTAGAATAGGAATCCCTTTGCATGGAAGTTGGCAACACAAGCACATCAAGCTCTCAGAAATGCCGGCCAAGAGTGAAGGGAGGAAGCTTTGGCAGACAAGCAGAACAGACAGAAAACACTTACCTAATGCCTCAGTTTTAACATTGTTTTATTGGCATGAGGTCAGTCGTTGGTCTCAACATGAAATGTCCTTCAGTGCAACAGCACCAGTCTGTCAGAGGAGCATTTCTTGGAGTAAGTTAGCATTTCTCCCCTCCTCCCCCTTCATCTGTTGGTATTTCATTCCGTCTCCCAGCTCCTCATTTGCCCTCTGGTTCAATCTCTGGATGCGCTTGACTTTTCCACAACTCTCTCAACCTGTCATAGCTGTGCAACATAAAACAGAATCAATATGCTCTTTTGCAACGTTGTTTGTGCATTCCTAAAGCTTGTCTAAGGAAGCTGGATAACTAAACTTTGCAGAATAAAACTTTAACCCTTTCAAACCCTAGTTTGGAACATGGGCTGGAGTAAACAGATATGCATTGGGTTTTACTCGGGTGCAGTCAGCCAGCTAAATTAGTAATCCTGCTTTGTGAGATGCCGTACTTCCCCAGTGATGTTTTGTTTTCCTTGTGTGTGTGTTTGAAGGGCAAGGTAGGGGAAGGGCAGCTGTCAAAACTGAGCAGTGGCAGAGGCAGTGAGCAGTGAGATACAGGTGAGGGAAGAGGAAAAAGCACAATATTTTCACATATGAAGGGCAGAGTTATAGACCAACCTTTTCTAAAAATGTTGTCATCCAAGTCATTGTAAAATCAAGATCTTACAATATTCTCTCAAGAATACAAATATGTACTCAAAGCAAATTCACTGTGGAAATGTGCATCAAGCTGGAAAGTTGTTGTTATTATTATTACACACAGTTATCCAGTTATGACCATTGTTGGTATCTTCATATTGGCCTCAGGTGAAGATACCAACGATGGTCGTTCAGTCTTGGCCACAGGTAGTCTTAACGACTGTAACGACTGTCGTCACAGCAACAAGGAACACTAACGAACCAGCGGTATCGATGACCCTGGCCAACGACCCCACTGAGGGTAAATAGCTGAGTTTCCCTGCCAGTCAGTCAGAACTGAAGAAGTCCTTTGGATGAGGGACGAAACGTCTTCCAGTATCTTCAACCAAGTCCAGTTGCCCTTGATTTCAACCTGCGTTGGATAACTATGACCTGGATGACTGAGAATCTTCATAGACATATTACACACAGTATTTGCCACGAATTAAAATACACAGTTTATTGACTGTATTAATAAAAATTAACTACACTAATTCTAATTTGTTAATAAATCTAATACAACAGTCTTGCAATAAATCCTTCCTATATGAAGGTTCTTATGTTCACTTTTTGTTGAACTTGATGAGGCTGCAGTTTGTGGTGCTCTTGCAATCTATACAATCTAGGCATTTCTAATATTTAGTCTATAGAAATTGGGTACTTTCGTTTAATTTAACAACAAATATGGCGCGTCAGTACACTTCAGTAAACAACATAATGGCACTATAATGAAAGGTTTAAGTTAACCCCTTTCAAATAAGGCATGCTCTGTGTCCAGAAAACAGTTGACATGACTGTTCATTTTAATAAATATAAGTTTACATTTGTGCAAATTGTAGAAATTACCTGCTTTTCTACTTCTATTTGGTCAATTATAGGACCATGGCAGTTGTAAATTAGACATTCTTTATATCATGCAGCATACGATCATCAATGACAGCCAAATGTTCTTATATTGGTAAATATACATTACATGGTAAAAAAAATCAGACAACCAGTATAAAATGTAAGAGTACAGCCATTGGTTATCTGAATAACACATACATACATACATACATACATACATAAGCACTGATTCATTACTGTAAGGGATATGTAGACTAGTAGTTAAGTATGGAAGAGAGGATGGAGGCCAAGAAGAATGCCACAATGTTGGTTGGGTGAATCTGTTTAGATTTGAAGAACTGAAGTGTGTACTCACAAGGCTGTGTGGTTTCACACGTCTGGCATTATTGAGGGAATTTTGCTGGCCCTTGCTTCTTCAGGGGACTACAGTTGGGGTTCATTGTCACGCTGTTAATAGAGTCAACATCCCCCATGAGAATAAAAAAGCGGAGTGCATGTGTTTGTGCATGCATTACCTAGATTATGAGCTGTACAGGTCATCACAGATGATAGCACCACATTATTCAGTCTTCTCTTAACCCATGTAATGCTATTATGAGTTACAAACTCTCTTTGTGGCCCTCTCCTCTATTTCCTAGAAACACAGAATCAATATCCAGCTTTGGGGCTGCAGCCTTCCATCGATAAGTCATTTAATCAATAATCCCAGAGAGTACTGCTTCATGTCTGTTTTTTATAAACTCGGGTTATACATTGGACAAGATTAAAAGGAAGCAAATGTGCAGAATGAGTAGTTAGATAGTGGGTTATCTGAACCAAACTATTCAGTTATGACACTTTGTGTATATTACCAATGAAGCAACTTTTAATTCTTTTCTATTATTATATAGCTTTATATAAATCTCAGAGAAAATTATTTTGTAAGTATGTTACAATTCTACCATTCAGTCTCTCCTGTGCACTTGAGTATTTTTCATGTCTCGATGAAGTGAAACTCACTTATAAGACTTTCCTTTGACGTATGTTATCAGATGGATAGTCAGGCATGAAGTGGGACCAAACACACAAAGCGGATGAACCGGTGAATCCACCATCACTTCCTTGGCAAATCTTCCCTCACTGTGCCCCATCCCAGCCTACACCCTGCTCCAAACACAGCTCTTATCAGCCTCTTACACACACTCTGTAACCACGGTAACTGTCTTACACCACTAGTCGTTAGGGTAGTGATGTGCAACCAGCAGTTTCCTGCGGGGATCACGGTCCACTTTTGCTCAGGGCTGCAGAAATAGGGTGTCATGGGACGACAGTAATAACCTTGTTCAGAATCAAACATCCAGTGCAGGTAATGTGATGACTTTGATTTCTCACTACACAGTTCAGTGTGTGGAAACAATTAAGCTTAGGCTTGTATTCCTAAAGCAAATTGAAATGTATCGTACATCAGTAGTCCTTTCTTTCATTGGTTACACATGGGAAGAGTTTCAGGCAGTATAGACAGATTACTTTTAAAACTTGTTTTGAACATATCGCTTAGCCTGAGCTACAGTTTGGAGGTGGAAAAACACCTGCACAGTATTTTCCTCTCCTTTTATTAGACTTTTAAGTATTTTATTCTTTTGAAATTGTATATGGTATTTATACAATACTGAATTTTGTGCTTTTTGTTCTGGGGTCCTGGGGTTTTAGTTTTTAGGGGGTGGCAGGGATGTTATTTTTTTTTGTTGTTGTTAAACTATTGTTCTGAAATGCCTCTGTAGTGTGAAGCACTTTGTGTTACATGTATTTGTATGAAAAGTGCTATATAAATAAAGATTGATTGATTGTTGCTTAAAGGTTCAGTGAGTAATATTTAGGAAGATCTATTAACAGAAATGCAATATAATATACATAACTATGTTTTTAGTGCTGTATAAGAATCTTACATAATGAACTGATATGTATTTATTACCTTAGAACGAGCCATTTCTCTGTACATACAAGAAGAAGAAGAACATTACATTAATTCATTAAGCTGACACTTTTATCCAAAGCAACTTACAATTGCTAAAAACTATATATGTCAAGAGGTCGCACACCTCTGGAGCAACTAGGTCTTGCTTAAGTGTCTTGTTCAGGGACACACTGATGGATGTGGAACAGGGAGAATCGGACCACATATCTGTCTTATCCCCTGTTGCCACCCCCAAGTAGTAGTAGTAATAGTTGACTGGTTTGTTTGAAGTAAGAAGAGAAGTGAGATTTAGACATATAGAGGACCAGACATATTATTTTAGCACAAGAGCTGGCAAAGCGCGTCGGCCACTGGAGCCTCTCCGTCATGCTTGCAAAGGGAGGGATGAGTGGTGACTGATGCATTCACGTGGTGTCGGAATAATCTGATCCCCCCCCTTAAATCTTTACATTACATTCTATATATGTCAGAGGTCGCACATCAAAGGCATGTGTCTCATCCACTGTTCCACCACACCTTTATTACAAAAAGAGAAATGAAGTGTGCATGGGACATAAAGAAGTATACAGAACAGTATACAAATATACAAGAAGACATAAAACATAAAAACTTTGCCGGGATAGTATGTATTATATAATGATATTAAAAGAGGACCATGTTGACGGTTTTCACAACCTTTTTGTTTTTGGATTTATAAATTAAATTGATATAATCTATAACCTCATGGAGAAAAGCTACAAAGTTATTTTTTTACTGCTGAATTTACAATTGCCATTAGAATTAATACACTAATTATGAAGTACTTATTTTGTCCAAGGAGTAAGTAAATGCACAGTGAGCTTTTGGTTGCAATTCGCAACCCTCACCACTAGATGCCACTAAAACATACACACTAATTCTTTAACACGCACGTTTCTAGGCAAAATAAAGTAAAATGCTTTATACAAAACCTCACTAGTATTAAAGTGAAAAACAAAAATGAAATTTTCATTATTTTCAGTCTTCTAATGAAAATATAGGTGCATCTTCATTCAATTTCTTTTAGCTCACACAATGTGATTGGCAATATCTCCAGTCAGCTATATAAACATAACATTTGGTTCCAGATGTGGTAGCACACCTCTACTGGGCACACATGGATATTTTCTTCTTGTAGTAGTTTTTTGGGAGTATTAATTTATTCTATCATGAACTCTACAACACAGTGAATTGTGGATACGTGTCATTGGGATTGGACCTGTGTTCCAGTCCTCGATGGGTCTGTCGGCTGAAAGTAAACTCAATCTGCAAGCTTAGATAGGTGATCTGTGTATAGACTAGCTTTTATCTTTGGAAGTGGCCATCCTTGAACTTACTGTTGGATTTATGCCCTAAAAGATTTTGGTAATGGACTGTGAGAACAGAGCTGCATATAATAGGAAAGTGTTCTTGTCAAGTAGTCGCAAGTGTGCATACGCAGCACAGCAGTCCAAATATAAATATAACATAGCACAAATTACCTGCCACAGTCAGGTTATGTCTCTTTTAAAGGTGAATTCATGTTTCTTGTCTGAAATTATGATGACCCATCATTGCGGGTCTGGTTTTCTATGCATAATGTTGTATACACTATTTGGCCTCCACCAACTGTCACAAAAATAGTACAGAGCACAGGTGCTTAAAGTGTACACAGGCAGACTATGCAAAACATTGTGAATCTTGACACCAAAGATGTGGCGCTCTTCTGGATTGCCAGCGGCTCTGCTTTTACTGTAGAATGCAGTCACTAAAATACCAAGCCAATTATCATAGGGCAGAGGCGAGGGGAAAAAAGTTTTCCACATGAGAAATCTGCTTTATTATCACAATGCTGCACATAGACGAATGCCCCTGCATGAAATTAAAACCCTTTGTGTTGTCATGTTTCGTAAGTAACTAAATCAAAACTTACTAAACTTGTGGCATGGGAATTCTCTCAAATAAATAGTCTAATGTGTCTGGACTTTTATGTCTTGAGTTAACAGAAGATTTTCTGTTTTGTAAAGTAGCTCGGCCCTAATCTGGTTAAGAGCTGTTGGATATAGATTGATACTCTCTTCTTTCAGAGGTAGAAAAAAGTGAGTCAAACACAATGGGAGGTTTGTCTGAGGTTGTTATGTCTTGGCTTTACTCATGACATGCTCATTTTCCTGCTACATCTGTGTTTCATCAATAGCAAACAAGTGCGTACTTGCCACTGAGTCACAGAGTAGAGAGCACACCACTTGCGTGTCTAGGTCGCCGGCATCCAAAACTCTGAAAGTGAGAAAGACGTGTAAATAAAAATGTGGCTGCAAAGTGAAATTAACATGAAAATTAAGTTGCATGCAAGAATTAACTCAAGTAAGAGCTCACACAATGCTGAGATTAACAGGCTCTTTCATTAGTCATGCGGGCTTGGCCACAGCTGGACCACTGTCTGCCATGACATCATAGCGGAGGACACAGAGCAGATCATTGGCTCTACATAACAATGACATGCAGTGTTTTCCTCTGTGGTCCCTCTTAGCAGGCCCCTAAACGTGGGTGCCGTGTCACAATGCTCCTCTGTGCCCCCTGACGTATGGCATCCTGGCAGTGATGTGGCACTGGAAAATTCTCAGGATGAATACCCGTGCCAGAGGGCCTTCAAACCTTCCAAATCCAAAGATGGTGCCCTTTGAGGCTTGATTGTTTGGGGCTCAGATTACAAAGCAATGAAAGAGAGACAACTCTAAGGTGAGTGTGTTTAGTGAAATAGGCAGAGCATGTGAGGAAAATAAAAAGACACTTTCAAATAGTTAAAGATTGGCCTGTTCCAACTGGGCAAGAAATACAAGAAATATACTTGGCTGTCAAACTGTGCTGATGATTTAAGGGTTTCCACACACTTCTTGTTTGGAAAAGAAATAGGAAACATATTTCCCACAGAAACCTGACAACTGGTCTTTAAAGCAAAGCCTCTCCCATTACAAACCTCTTATTATCTTTTCATGTTGAGGCTTCATTTGTGTCTAGCATTGATCTCAAGGTAACCCAGCACCTGTCAGTCAAAAGGTGGCACCGTGAACCGTATTCTGTTCCCCAGCAGAGAGTAAACTAGAGGGTGAGGGTACATGAAGGAGTGAGGCTGCATTTGGCACATTCGCTGAGGTAATTACAGATTTAAAAGCCGAAAAACACTCACACTATGTTCACTCAAACAACTACGCCCGAGGCCAACAAAATGGCGGAGAATCTTTTGTGTGCGTCATGCCGATGTGACTCACAGAGAGGTGAGAAAGAAGAAGACAGAGAGACAGAGAACATGAGAGGGTTAACGGAAGGATAGAAGCAGAGAATGGGGTTTTTTTTGCAAAAGGGTGGGTGTAGTGTGGAGCGGAGAGGAAGAACAGTGAGTGAAAGGATGAAGATTGAATTTCGTCTTCACAGGCGAGAACACTGCCTGCGAGCAAACAAAAGGATGAAAAGATAACCTGCCGCTGTTCTCTGACTGACAGTTGGACAGTTCCCCATCTTCCTGATGGCAGCCCCTCGCTCTAACTGCCTCTTGCTGCAAGTCCCCCACTGCCTGTGACCAATATCAGCTCTTAAAACAATTATTGGACTGCCAGGGGGTGGACATAGCGCCGACTCAGCAAACAAGCGTGGAAGGCTACCTGTCACAGAGCATGGAGGCAGCTGAGGAGAAGGATATACGATGAAAAGAAAAAGGGGAGGGAAGCAAAAAGAATGGATGAATCATTTTAAAAATGGAAATCTAATGACAGTTAAGCTGCTTATTAATTTGGTTGACAGTGTGTATGCATTGTGTATGTGTTTGCGTGCGCACACGTGTGTACTTGTGCGGTCTGTTTGTCCCCTGTCTTTAAGCGAATACAACACTAGTCACAGCAAAAGCTGATTATGAGATTAAGTGGTGTGCTTCTGGGAAATAAATAAAAAACTGGTGAATGAATGAATACTGTAAGTACAGTGACGCTAGAAGGAAATCATCCTTAATTGAACTCCAGTGGTGTGTGTGTGTGTGTGTGTGTGTGTGTGTGTGTGTGTGTGTGTGTGAGCACAGGGGGAATGTCGGTGTAGAGTATGAATCGGTTGTTTGCATTATGCACTCCTGTATAATATCCTACAGTACGTTGCATCACATGACATAGAGTGGGCAGAGGGGTTACCGTCACTTTGTAATGGCTTTGCTGAGAGTAGGGAAATGAATCGCTAAATCAGTAGGATTGATAATCGGCTCTGGGTGGGAAATAACCTGCAGAGCATCACAATGACTTTGCTTTTATCTCCGGTGCTTACAGAGTTGCCCGTCCCGCTCAAGATTGCCTCACAAATACACCACATAATCCCATGAGATTAAATTGTTTTTACATGGAACATGTGTAGCATCGCAGAGGAATTTGTGAACCACAATAAATATGAAATTGGGGCTTTGATGTTAACCACTGCAGGGCCAACTATCTGACTTTTTCCTACTTTAATTTTTTTTTCTCTCTCTCTCTCCTCTCCAGTTCCCTCTGTGTGTTTAGAAATAGGATCTTATAGCCTAAATTGAAAATGGGACTGCTCCACAACACTCAACACATAGCAGCAGATGTGTGGCAGTATGCAAGACGGGGAGGGGAAAAGGAAAACGAGACAGAGGGAGGGAGAGACAGAAGCCAAGAGACAGAGAGAGGAAAGGGAATAGTAGGAGGAGGAAAGAGAAAGATGACAAAGGTAAAGAGAGAGAGGGGAAGGGACTCTACAGACAGGGCTACGGAGGAGGAAGTAAGATGAGAGACTGAGAGGGGAGGGAAGAGGAATGGAGAGGAGTTTAGAGGCTCTCAAACACTTTGCACTCACTGCACAGCAGATGCCACATTCTGTCTGGCACAG